CTCCAAAAAAAAAAAAAAAAAAAAGGGTAAACCACAAAACCACAACTCCACTGTAAGAGGAGAGGCAACTGGAGAAAGATCCCAGGAGGTTATATTCAACAACGGAGCAACAATACAGTAGTCTTGCCAGATATCCACAGCCTTTAAATGGACATATTCTACTTGGTTCATCACCTTTATAATCTATAAAAGTTTTCAAGTTTTCTGGATAGTTCTACCCAGTTGATAACAATTACCCTGCCAAGTAAATCACTCACTATAATTGAATAAACCAGCAATCTGGTTTATCAGTCAGTCTCTCTTGCTCAATTGACAATCCCTAAAAGTTCATCCATTCCTGTGTGAGACGGTATATCTGACAATTCAGTCAAAGGAAGTTGGTCAAATCCCACAACTGACTACCAAAGACAGAAATATCTAAACACAAAAATACTACAACTAATTACAGGTAGTAACTAGGTTCTAAATAAATTATCTCCTAAGTAGATTTTAATATAAATTTTGAACAGTTATAGAAAATAAAGATGGCCTTTGGGTCAATAACAGAACATACCAAAAACACTAAAAATTTCTGTACATAAACACACGCATGTCACAAGTCTAGTCAGAAAGAAATACACAGAAAAACAAGATAGAATTTTAAAAAATAATTTGCAAGGGAAGTTCTTAACTCTTTAGTTCTAAAATATTGTCTTCCTTTAGAAAAATTTAAGACTGGAATAACAGATTTTTTTTTTCCTGCAATGCTGTAATTACTGCAAATTTATCAGCAAAGAGGTAAACAGCAATGCAAGTTTTCCTTAAGCTTGAATACATAAGGGAACACTAAAGAAACCTGATTAGACCTGAACTAATTAAAGTCACACCAGTAATATTCAGGCCAGCTCTGGTCTCTAGGTAGAATTCCAGGACAGGTTTGTATCACTGGGTCCATTCCCAATAGGCTGGATAGGAGAGTCCAGAGTAATTGTCAGGATACCACCTTCTTCTATCCTGGGCTGCCAGACTGGCATTGGGCTTCACATTCCAAGAGTACCTCCTGCGTGAACAGTCCTCTCCAGGAGGACCAGGAGGAGGGAGATGGCCTCTCTGGTAAACATGTGGATTCTGTGAAAATTTTCTTAAAGCAAAACAAAAAGTAATAAGCCATTACTAGGATTAGTACCATAATTTTTATTTATTTTAAATTTATATTTTCATAAAATACTTTAAATTTATAAATATACAAAATAATATATATTCTACTGTTTTCTACCTGTGTGACCTTAGCAGATAAAACACTTAATTTTTATTTCCCTAACTTCTTTATAAAATGGGACTAATAATACTTTTCACCTTCACGAGCTGTTATGAAGCTAAATTAAGAAAATACATTTCAATTTCCTACAATGCTCTGGCACACCGTGGATTCCCAGAAGCCTTTCCACCTTTCCCTACAGAGATAAATGCACGCCCATACTATTCTAATCAAATACTTTCTCTCCCAAAGTCTGGCAGGGTTGACATAAGATAGAATAAGCTATTTAGTACTGAAAACAGCTGCTTCCACTTTATAAACATACATAAATTAATTAAAAAGTGTGAAAAACTTTAAGCATACTACATGCAACAAATTTGAAAAATTAGGATTTAAATTTACTTGTTTGAAAAGCAAGATCAAAAAATCTCATATAATTGTACAAAAGAAAATCTGGGGCTGGGTGTGGTGGCTCACACCTGTAATCCCAGCACTTTGGGAGGCCAAGGCAGGCGAATCACCTGAGGTTGGGAGTTCAAGACCAGCCTGATCAACATGGAGAAACCCCGTCTCTACTAAAATTATAAAGTTAGCTGGGTGTGGTGGTAGGCGCCTGTAATCCCAGCTACTTGGGAGGCTGAGGCAGGAGAATCATTTGAACCTGGGAGGTGGAGGTTGCAGTGAGCTGAGATCACACCATTACACTCCAGCCTGGGCAACAAGAGCAAAACTCCTTCTCAAAAAAGAAAATTTGGAAATCTGAGAAAAGAAAAACTAACCCCCCACTGCAGAGCCCTCAATCCCACTTACTATAATTCAATTAGTTAGTATTTCCTTTTGTTCTTTTCCCTAGCATATTTTTCTGACTGTTGAATCACAGCCTATTATTTTCACTTATCATAAATGAGCTAACACTTTCAGTGGCTTTATAAAATGTTACAGTATGGATATGATTATTTAGCTACATTCTCCACTGTTAGAAATACAGCAGTTACAAGTTTTTCCACAACCACAAATAATGCTGGGATTAACATTGAAAAACATATACTACTGTATCCTGAGCTAGCCCAGCATCTGACACACGGTAGGGAGTTTGAGAAATGTACTGAATGATTAATATAGTTTTTTCTGTATTTTGAAGTATTTCCTTAGTCTCAGAATGAAATCACTAGGTAAAGTATTTTTATGGTTCTTGAAATTGTGCTTCAAAAGGCTTATGCCAATTTTCAATGCTGTAAGCAACATGTTTTTGAAATGTTTGTTTTCATCTTTTTAAAATGTCAGTTTTTTTTAAGGTTTTTTTTTTTTCCTTTTTTTAACAAAAACAGGATTCCAGCATGTTGCCCAGGGTGGTCTGAAACTCCTGGGCTCAAGCAGTCCTCCCACTTTGGCCTCCCTAAGTGCTGTGATTACAGGTGTGAGCCAATGCGCCTGGCCTAAAAATGGCAATGTATTTTTGGAAGTGTTTACAATGTGCCAAACTGTTTAAATTCATGTTAACTGTCAGTAACAACCACTATGGGGTATGTATTATTAAAATATCTATCTGACTGATGGAAAAATGTAAATGTAGATAGGCTAAGTATCTTATCCAAGATCACAAAGCAGGCAAGTAACAGAGCCAAGATGCAAATCCAGGTCCAGCCTGACAACCACAATGGAGTGCTTATCAAAAACTGTTGCGAAACTGGCTGGGCGAGGCGGCTCATGCCTGTTTAATCCCAGCACTTTGGGAGGCTGAGGCAGGCGGATCACCTGAGGTCAGGAGTTCAAGACCAGCCTGGCCAACATGGTGAAACCCCCATCTCTATGAAAATACAAAAATTGGCCGGGCGCGGTGGCTCAAGCCTGTAATCCCAGCACTTTGGGAGGCCGAGATGGGCGGATCACGAGGTCAAGAGATCGAGACCATCCTGGCTAACACGGTGAAACCCCGTCTCTATTAATACAAAAAATAGCCAGGCGAGGTGGCAGCACCTGTAGTCCCAGCTACTCGGGAGGCTGAGGCCGGAGAATGGTGTGAACCCGGGAGGCGGAGCTTGCAGTGAGCTGAGATCCGGCCACTGCACTCCAGCCTGGGCTACAGAGCGAGACTCCGTCTCAAAAAAAAAAAAAAAAAAGAAAATACAAAAATTAGCTGGGCGTGGTGGTGGTGCCTGTAATCCCAGCTACTCGGGAGGCTGAAGCAGAACTGCTTGAACCTGGGAGGTGGAGGTTGCAGTGAGCCAAGATTGCACCACTGCACTCCAGTCTGGGTGACAGAGTGAGACTCTGTCTCCAAAAACAAACAAACAAAACTGTTGCTAAATTAATAGGCAAAGAATAATACCTTGCTATTTGTGATGGTTAATTTTAGGTGCCAACTTGACTGGGTTAAGAGATACCTAGACGGCTGGTAAAGTATTATTTCTGGGAGTGTCTGTGAGGGTGTGCCCAGAGGATACTGGTGTGTGAGTAGGTGGGAGGATCCACCCTTAGTATGGGTAGGTACCACCCAACAGGCTGGGGGCCTGGATAGAACAAAAAGGCAGAGGAAAGGCAAATTGTGCTCTCTCCTGGAGGTGGAATACCTTACCTTCTCCTACTCTTGGACATCAGAACTCCAGGCTTCATGGCCTTTGGACTTGAGGACTCACACCAGTGTCCTCTAACCTTTACCAGATTCCCAGGCCTTCAGCCTTGCATTGAGAGTTACTCCACTGGCTTCCCTGGTTCTGAGGCCTTCTGAGTTGGACAGAATGCTACGAGCTTCCCTGGTTCTCCAGTTTGCAGACAGCCTACTATGAAACTTCTCAGCTTTCATAAAATGCATAAGCTGATACCCCAAATAAAAAAGCCCCTCCTCCCATCCACCCACCCACCCACCCACCCATCCATCCATCCATCCATCTATCCATCCATCTATCCATCCATCCATCCATCCATCCGTCCATCATCCATCCATCCATCCATCCCTCTACTGGTCCTATCATTCTGGAGAACTCATACTAATGTACCGCTTTAACCATACCGAGGCTTTCCCTATTTTCCAAGTGAAAATACTTTTGCTGTATATCTGTTCAGATCCTTTGCAATTTCTCTATTAGGATTTTATTATTTTTCTTATAATTCATATCAACTCCTTAAATAACAATCTTCCTTATTCTAAAAACTATACTACATGAATGTAGCCTAAGAATGTAAGATCCTTTTTGATAGCCACATCAAACTCTTGGCTTAAGTTTAAAATCAATGAAAATTTCTAAGTCCCTTTCCGAATTGCCTCTGAAAAGTCACATATTCCCTGTCCTGTAACTGATTTTCCAGTGCTAAATGCAAAATACAGAGCAGAATAATATCTCCTGGTTCAAACTGATCAGCAAGAACTCCTTATCGGCCGGGTGCGGTGGCTCACGCCTATAATCCCAGCACTTTGGAAGGCTGAGGCGGGTGGATCACAGGGTCAGGAGATCAAGACCATCCTGGCTAACATGGTGAAACCCCATCTCTACTAAAAATACAAAAAATTAGCCGAGTGTGGTGGCGGGGGCCTGTAGTCCCAGCTACTCAGGGGACTGAGGCAGGAGAATTGCTTGAACCCAGGAAGTGGAGGTTGCAGTGAGCCGAGACTGTGCCACCATACTCCAGCCTGGACGACAGAGCAAGACTCTGTCTCCAAAAAAAAAGAAAAAAAGAATTCCTAATCAGTATCATAACATGTTTTCATTAATTATAGTATTAATTTCTATCTCAATTCTAGAAAAGGGACAGCAGAGAGAGGTACCTGACTGATTGTTGCAAATTTTGGGTCTGGGTGTGGAAATGTCGAGGAGTTGAGTGACCCTGGATCTGATGTAGATTATACCTAGGTCCTCGTTTAACAGGCTTATTCATGGTGTGGACTGGTTGCATGAGATGTGCTGAGTCTTCAAAACTTGACCTGGGTACACTGGAATTCCAATTCCTTAAAGAGAATATTTCCACACAATATTACTGGTTTCCAAATTTAGTAGTCAATTTAGTGACTATACTTTGGCATATGAAAGTAACAATTTCTTCCTTCTCCCATTCCTGTTTGTTTATGTCTCCCCCGGCCAAATAAACCAGCTACCAGAAGAATGGATATATGCAACTTAAATTATATAAAAAGAGATCTCCCTGACCACAAATCTCACATATGTAACATAAGACTTACTTTCTGATAGGACCATTCTGAAGGTCTTCAATGTAGTTTTGTCTTTCTAAGCAATGTCCCCGGCACCTATTGAATACTGAGGAGAGGATAAACTGTTAGAAATAACTGTACAAAAAGCAAATCTTTCCAGAAAAAGCAAATTAAGCTGAAATTCACTATTCAAGCTGTTATATCTCACTACTTCCACATACATCTATAGACTTTTGGCAAGACTATCTTATACTGGAACAAACGAATTACAAACTTCTTTTTTTCCAAAATTTGAGAAATTCTTCTACATTTCCACCTTTAACTTTAATAAAAAGGGAAAAATAGTGACAACCCTCATACTTACATTCAATTGCATCATCTGGCCTCATGCCTTCTACATCAATCAAATATCTAACAAAACAACATAATTTGGGTCATTTATATATACGAAAAGAAAAAAATGAAGTTTTTTCAAAAAAGGTCCAATTTCAACTTACAGACATAGATATAAAAATCCTAAGAAAATATCAGCATATCAAATCCAGCAGTTATTAAAGAATGACATACTATGACCACAAAAAGACATTTTTCAAGACTGCAAGGATGACCCAACTCCAGAAAATCTATTTATATTTTTATTTACATTAATGTAATTTAATAAACAAAAGGAAAGAAAATGCAGAATCATTTTTTATCAAAACACTTTACACACTAAAAATAGAGACTTCCATAATATGACAGAGTATCAGAAACCAACAACAAACAAAAGACAAATTGGGAAAAATATTAACATTATATCTAAAAAATACTGTATAACCAACAGAAGGGCCAGAAACTTGGAAGTCACCATCACTGTCAGCCACTTCTTCCATACTCTTATCTTCAATTCACCACCAACTCCTGACAACAATATTACCTAAATATCTCTATAGAATATATCTGTATCTTTCCACCAAAATGACCACCATGCCCTGGTCCAATCCATCATTATGCCTCAATTCCTACAAACACCTCCCAACTTGTCTCCTTGCTTCTACCTCTTTCCCTCTGCAGTGTATTCTCCACTCAACAGCAAAATGATAGGTTGAAAATACAAATTTGTATATATTCCCCACACTCATCCCCAACAAAAAAAATTCAATGGTTTTCTCTTGCTCTTAAGGTAGTGACTAAAACCCTAAACATAGCTCTGCATGGTTTTAGCTCCTACCCATATTTCCAGCTCCATTTTAATGCCATGCTACTCCCATGGCCCAGTCTCCCTGGCCAGCTCCTCCAACACAGTATGTTTTCCTGTTACATGGTCTCTGCTGATCCTTAGGTTCAGAATTCTCTCCACGACATCCCTACCTGGTCAACACCTACTCATACTTCAGATATTTGCTCAGACCTTCCCACAGAAACCTCTAGCCCTCTTGTTGAAGTCAAATCCTCCATATTCTACGCTCTCATTGTACCACATCACTCTCCTTCTCAGCACTTGTTGGAGTTGTAATGCTATAGGCATGTGTGTGATTCTTTAATATCTACTCCCTCCCTAGACTGTTAGGATGCACAAAGAGCAGCTAGAGTCTCTTTGCTAGCACCCAGCACAGTGCCTACACACAATAGATGCTCAGGAGATATTTTCTGAATGAACAAACATAACTCAGTGCAGTGTGGCAACATCCATAAAAAGCGTTAAGGACACATACTATTTGATTCAGAAATTCTATTTTGAGTGAAATTACCTCCGGGGCTACGGCATATGTATTCAAAAATATTTACATATAAATGTTTACTACTTCAATGTTTTATAATATCAAAAACTTCTGACTTTTGTGTTCATCGGTATGCAAAGAACAACGCAGCCCTTAAAAAGAATGAGTCCAAGTATTTTCATAGAAAGATGTCTATCACGTATTAAATTAAAAAACAGAATATCTAACTATTATACCATTCAATAACATGTACACTTGTATCTGCATTTTTAAAGTCTGAAAAGATGTGTACTAAATTATTAATGGTGGTAATCTCTGGGTGGGGAGCAAGACTGCCTTCTACTTCATGTATTTCTAATACCGGTTGCATTTTTTACAACAAGCTTACATTATCATTGTAAACAGACAAAAACAACTTTAAAATGGTCTGCCTCTGGGGTTGGCAACTTACCTGCAAATAAGGTAGCCGGTCCTGTTTAAACCATGAGTACAGTGGACACCAATAAGTTTGTCTATAAAAAGAAAATACAGGTTTAAGTAACTGAAGTAGATACACAAGTGTATAACATTATCACTGCCCTGAAAATGAATAACTCTCAAGAGGAATTGTTTTTTCTAGGAACATACTATAAAGAATCATCTAACAGAAAGCCAAAACTCACTGCTTCTGGGAAACTTTGCATAGTCCCAATTAGACTCAGTGATGTAAACTGCAGGCCTGGTCAGACACTAACAGCTAAAACTGCAATGAGACAAACCCATCTATCTTCAAACAGAATGCCCATCAGCAACTGATTTAATTACACAAAAAGGGAGTGAAAGCAACAACAGGCTAAGAGAAGAATGAAATTTCTGAATGAAACAAATGAAATGCCTTCACTCTTGATATTGAATATTAAGGACAGTTTCCATAGTACTCTTGAGTTCCCAAAGAACTTCTATTCCTTCTCTTGTTCAGTGCTCCACACACGCCACAGGTCTACTTGCTCTGTGAAGCACTCAGGTAAATAGCACTATTCACATTTTACAATGAAAAGGCAAGGCTTGGAGATGTAAGTCAAAGCAGGCAAACAGTACAAGACTAGAATCAAGTCTAAGATTACATTATACCGCAGTATTTCTTAGTCCATCCTTTTAAAAGCTTATATGAAGAATTTAAGTCTTCATATAATTTAAAAAATTATATGAGGAATTAAATAAAAAACATGTAGTTTATCTTTGCAAAATCTGTGTCCGTGACTAGGTAGCGTCTGGTAAAGAAGGCACTCATCAGCCAGGTGTGGTGACTCATGCCTGTAATCCCAGCACTTTCCAGCCTGGCCAACATGGCGAAACCACATCTCTACTAAAGTACAAAAAATTAGCCGGGTTTTGTGGCAGATGCCTGTAATCCCAGATACTCAAAAAATAAATAAAATAAAATAAAAAATAAGGCACTTGGCTGGGGGCGGTGGCTCACGCCTGTAATCCCGGCACTTTGGGAGGCCGAAATGGGTGGATCACTTGAGGTCAGGAGTTCGAGACCAGCCTGGCCAATATGGCGAAACCCCATCTCTACTAAAAATATAAAAACTAGCCGTGTGTGTGGTGGTGGGCGCCTGTAATCCCAGCTACTCGGGAGGCTGAGGCAGGAAAATTGCTTGAACCCAGGAAATGGAGGTTGCAGTGAGCTAACATGGTGCTACTGCACTCCAGCCTCGGTGATACAGTGAGACTCCGTCTCAAAAAAAAACAAAAAAAAAAAAAAGAAAAGAAAAAAGAAGGCACTCATCATTGCCTGCCTGGATTACTACAACAAACTAATCTCCCTACTTCCATCTCAACTGATCCTCCATATGGCAGATGTTATCTTTCTAAAACATAAGCCTGGCTGGGTTGTTTTTGCTTAAAAATCTCAATTTAGCATAACATGAAGCCCAAATTTAGCATGGCATTTAGAATCCTTCATAAACTGATATCAATCTGTCTTTCCAACTGATCTAAGTTCACAATGATCCTAACTATGATTTACAAGGGTCTATATGATCCACCTCTCTTCTGCCCACCCCCAACCTCTCTGATCCTGTTTCTCCTGCTCTTACCCTCACTCACTCCACTCCAGCCACACTGGGCTCTTTAACATTCCTCAAACATGCCTAGCATAGTCATGCCTCAGGGACTTTGCACCTGCTGTTCCCTCTGCCTTAGAACACTCCTCCCCAGACACTCAATGGCTTGGTTCATTACTTCCTTTAAGGTTCTGCCCAAATGACATCTTCATAAAGAGGCCTTCCTAATCACTCACCTCTTCCCTCACCCCTTTATCGTGTTTTGTTATTCTCCAAAGCACTTATCACCATATATATTCCATATATTTATTAGGTTATTTCTCTCCCCTACTAGAATGTAAAGTATATAAGGGCAAGGACTTTGTTCTATTTCCACTTTTTAGAAAAGTGACTTCAACATAGGTTATACAATTATTTGTTGAAAATGTACATATGAATTCCATGCCTTTTCACATTATCTTCTAGTCACACAAGAGACTGCGTCTCCATGGCTTTAAGCCCTGTGCCTTTTGTGCCTAATCCCCAAAACTAGGCTGTCCTTTTCTCATCCTGGCAAAATTCTTGTCCCTGCAGCTTGAATGTTGTATCCTGTCAGGCCTTCCTCAATCTCTCCTCTATATTCTCACTGCACTTAATTTATTCTTTTATTATGATGAACTGTCTTTTTTGTCCTTTTTTTTTTTTTTTTTTTTTTCCGAGACGGAGTCTTGCTCTGTCGCCCAGGCTGGAGTGCAGTGGTGCAATCTCGGCTTACTGCAAGCACCGCCTCCCGGGTTCACGCCATTCTCCTGCCTCAGCCTCCCGAGTAGCTAGGACTACAGGCGCCCATCACCATGCCCAGCTAATTTTTTTTTTTTTTTTGTATTTTTAGTAGTGATGGAGTTTCACCGTGTTAGCCAGGATGGTCTTGATCTCCCGACCTTATGATCCGCCCCACCCGCCTCTGCCTCCCAAAGTGCGGGGATTACAGGCATGAGCCACCGCGCCCAGCTTTTTTGTTCTATAATTAACCCACATCTTAAGCCACATGCACTACATGTTTATTTTCCTAGATAACTGTGAACTGCTATAATAAAAAACAAAGACTGCTATCACTTATGTGTCTTCATGCTCTAACAACAAATCTAAAAGGATCTCAGTGTTTACTGAATCAACTTATTTTCTCAGTCCCTACTAGTTCTAGAAGAGAGTGGAGAGTGTAGTGTCCTCTTTTTATCAGTAAGCCTGGTATCTGTGGGAAGGGATTATAGCAGAGGTAGCTAAAACTGATTACAAACAAGGTCCCAAACCTGCTATGGTAGTGGGTACCGCAAGACTTAAGACAGTCAGCACAATTCAGCGGAAGACCAACATGGAGTTCAGTCTATCCAACTGACTACAATCAGTGTAAATGTGAACAACTAAGATTTAAAAATGTGTTCTCATGTATTCATAAGGACCTCCTAGCCTCACAGAACAAATCAAGTGCTATATAAAAATTTCACACACAAGAGCCTGGAAGCAGTGAATAGGCCATCAGCTGTACCCTCATATCTTAAAAGGTAGTATTTCTGTGACGACAGCTTATACAAATGAGAAAGCCAAACCTCTCAAGTTTTAAAGTTAAAGTACAGGGGAAGATCTGTGAACAAGGTTTAACATAATTAAAAGCTAGTGTCTACATTAAGTGAGTGACTGGGTTACAATTTGAAATTTGATCTTCAAACCCACTGATCCAGTCTCTATCTCTCACCTTCCATTCCCTATCTTCCCACCTCTGTCTCTATTCTTTCTCCACTACTCCATCACATTTTTTAAAAAGGAGTATTTACTGTCAGATTTATGTAATAAAGTGTACACTCCTCAAGCTAAATTTGGAAAGAAGACAAATGCAGCCTTTGTCCTGTGGGTGCCAGTGGCTTTTCAAAGATAAAAGCTTCTTCAGTCTTAAAATATGGCAAATATCATGTTCTTTCTAGCAGGTAGATACCAGAAAAAGGCAACTGGATCCTTAAGATAAAGAACCTATTAAGTTACATTTTTAAAAGCGTAAGGTAAATCTTAAAGCAGGAACAAGAAAGCACCAGCCTTTGGCTGAAGTTCTCCCGTGTGAAGAATAAGAGGTGGTGGTATCCTTCCCCAGCTGTACTCAAAGCAGAAAAACAGCAGAAATAGCTTAAATACATATGACAAAGGGGCAATTTCACTGGTGCACTCTTTCTTGTTTTGCGTCTGTCCCATTCCTAATCTTTGCCCTTTCTTGTTTCTTTCACATAACTCTAAGACTCAGAGTTTTTAAATCTTTTCTTCTACCTCTCACTTCTTAACGAACATACAAGACAAAAATAACATTTTAATTTTATTGTATATTTCCCATTCAAATTAAAAAAGAGAGAAAGATGAGCTAGTTCAGTTCTTCAGTTCATATTTTGCACTAAAACTAATTTAACTTTCCAAAGCAAGTTAAATTATTTGTGATCAACAAAAGGAAAAACATCTTACCCTATTAGCACCACCTCACATTTTCATCATCTTAGCATCATATATAATGAGTCAAAGGTTAGAACTATAAAAAATACCAAAAATCCCCAACCTCATTCATAATGCACACCGCAGTTCAGATAAGAACAAAAACTCACCATTATCTTTATTTTCTTTCAAAAACCCATTAACAGCGTGTTTGAATTTAAAAATAGTCTCGTCATCAGGCACTTGATGTCCAACTGTAAATATTTTTAAGTAAGGAACAGATTCTGGCAAATCCTATAAAGCAAAACCATAAAAGATGTGCATTATTTCATTTGTAAAGAAATAATTAAAGAGTAATTAGGGGACCCAGAATATAAGCCAAGAGATTATAACAAACTTAATACGCCAGTATCAGAACATGCAATTCTGATAAAAGAGCTATTTTTTCCAACACTTACTTCAACCAGAAAGTATCACTTGATTTTCAATAAAACTACATAATAGTCAATAGGCATACAAAATTGAAAGCAAATTCCATGTGAATGAATGCAAATTTAACTATAAATTATATAAACAGTTCCATTTAATATTTTACAATTCAAGGGCCCGTGCCTTCATAAAGCAGCTATGATTTAAGTAGAAGAGTAGAGAACAGAGTCAGAAGAACTTGGATTTGAATTGTGAGACAGAGGGAATTCCAGGCACTATTAAGAACTGATATTCTTGGGGTGGGAGAAAAGTAGATACAGATAAAGACAGAAGAGGCTAAGTGAAAATCATTTTAACCACCCATAAGTGTGGTATAGTTCAGCGGCATTACATTCACAGTATTGTGTAACCATCACCACTGTCTATACCCAAAACTTTTTCATCATCCCCGACAAAAAGACTTTGACCATTAAACCATAATTCCCTTTTCTCCCCACCTCGTAGATCCTTTAGTCTGTTTTCTGTCTCTGTGAATTAGTCTATTCTAGGTACTTCGTAAAAGTGGAATCATATATTTGTCCCTCTGTGTCTGGTTTATTTCACTAAGCATGTTTTTAGGGTTCACCCATATTGTAGCGTGTATTAAATTTATTCTTTTTTATGGCTGAATGATAATCCATTGTGTGCAGATACTGTTTTGTGTATCCATTCACCTACTGATGGACACTTGGGTTGTTTCCACCTTTTGGCCATTGTGAAAAATGCTGCTGTGAACACTGGTGTACAAGTATTTGTTTAAATCCTTGCTTTCAGTTCTTTTAGAACTGAAGCTCTGAGTTCAAATGGAAAGTATCAGCATGAACTCATGATGTACTTTTAAAACAAACATATTTCTTAGCACCATCCACAGAAAAAGACTAGTAACAATGAGCCTAGGAGCACTGAGCACCTCTAGCACTCAGACTCTAATCTTTAAATAGCATTCCCACCAAACAGGAATCAAAGCTCCTTGGGAAAATGGCTGAGTTCAGGGTAGAACAGGAAATGTACAAGATAAGCCTGGAATTTTTTTCATATAAATAGCAAAGAAAGAGTGATTAAAGGTTACTAGGGTTGTGTCAAAAGGACTCAGGAGACAATCTAACAAGCTCCAACTCTCCAAAGATAGGGCCTCAATTTGTGCTTCAATTAAAAAAAAGAGAGAAATAACTACATTCAAGTTTTAAGTCATCCTTTTTCAAGCCTGTTTTATCTTCTGTAAAATTATGTATTAATTGTAACCATTTTATCCTCTGAGCTTAGCAAAGAAAAAGCACTCAACAGGAGATATTAGTACAACTGCTACTTTATCAGCACAGGATTGTTGAGAGGATTAACTAAGTTAATACATGTGAAAGCACTTTTTTTTTTTGAGACGGAGTCTTGCTCTGACACCCAGGCTGTCATGCAGTGGCATGATCTTGGCTCACTGCAACCTCTGCTTCCCAGGTTCAAGAGATTCTCCTGCCTCAGCCTCCTCAGTAGCTGAGATTACAGGCATGTGCCACCCACACCTGGCTAATTTTTTTGAATTTTTAATGGAGACGGGGTTTCACCATGTTGGCCAGGCTGGTCTCGAACTCCTGACCTCAGGTGATCCACCCGCCTCAGCCTCCCAAAGTGCTGGGATTACAGATATGAGTCACCGCATCCGGCTGAAAGTACTTTTTAAATGGCAAACTGCTGTACAAATATTAACAAATATTAGATGTTACTGTTTCCAAAAGCCATGGAACTGGTCAGAAGAAGGATCATTCTTTCGCACCAAGATGCTAAACGGGGCCAACAGAACATATGAATCTCTGTATTGTATCAACAGATACTGGGAAAAGAAATCATAAACTCAGAAAACTTTCTTTTACATGATGCTTACACATGCTCAAGCAATGGCTTAAAATAAGTGCTAAGAAATACTGGATATTCCTTTCTTTCCTCCAGGCCACTGCTAGTATTAATAAGTTTACTTCATTTTCAAAATATAGAATATGGAAGCTTATAGAATTTCTTAGGCACACACAGAGCCTACTGCCAAATATTTTAGTTCAATTCATGTCTTCAATTTCATTTGAGACAGCAATTAAAAACATGTAATTAAAGAAATCACTTGGCTCTCTTTTTTTTTTTTTTTTTTTGAGGCGGAGTCTCGCTCTGTCGCCCAGGCTGGAGTGCGGTGGCGCGATCTCGGCTCACTGCAAGCTCCGCCTCCCGGGTTCCCGCCATTCTCCTGCCTCAGCCTCCCGAGTAGCTGGGACTACAGGCGCCGCCACCACGCCCGGCTAATTTTTTTGTATTTTTAGTGGAGACGGGGTTTCATTGTGTTAGCCAGGATGGTCTCGATCTCCTGACCTCGTGATCCGCCCGTCTCGGCCTCCCAAAGTGCTGGGATTACAGGCTTGAGCCACCGCGCCCGGCCTAGCTCTCTTTTAAACTTACTACCCATCAAAGAAGGCCAGGCTTCACATTAGCACAAGATGATTACTGAATTATTACTGAATTACTATAAATTATTTCAGGATCAGAATGAAGAACGTTCTTTTCAATGAAGGGTTCCACTTACCTCCGGTTTATAATAGCGTTGAGTATATGTTAAATCAATAATCAGTCCAAGTTCTTCATTTTGTTCTCGGATTTTGTTAAAAAGATCCAAAGGGGAAAAGCATTCTTCCGGAGCAAGTTTCTTTTCAAAACTCTGTCAGAGAGAATGAAACAAGAGCAAACATGTCCTTAAAGTCCTGCACTGCATTAGGCATTTATTCAAGTCCTGTGATGCTAACATATAACGAGATTCAAAGGAAAGTTTCCATTCTCCTGGAACACAGAAGGTATGTTATAACAATCCTTTCTTCCTGAGTGGTCAGAAAGAAAAAAATAAGCCCACTTCTATATGTGTATTTCTGTATTTGTTTCATGTTGGTCTCCTAATCAGACTGCAAACACCCAGATTTTATTCACCACTGTATCTCCAGCTCCAAGTGGAGTGCCTATCATATTTAGTGCTTATAAATATATCTTTCTTTCTTTTTGAAACAGGGTGTTGCTCTGTCATCCAGGCTGGAGTACAGTGACACAAACATGGCTTATTGCAGCCTCCACCTCCCGGGCTCAAGCAATCCTCCCACGTCAGCCTCCCAAGTAGCTGGGACTACAAGCATGAACCACCACACCTGGCCTTTTTTTTTTTTTTTTTTTTAAAGAGATAGGGTTGGCCGGGCGCAGTGGCTTATGCCTGTAATCCCAGCACTTTAGGAGGTGGGAGGATCACAAGGTCAGGAGATTGAGACCATCCTGGCTAACACAGTGAAACCCCGTCTCTACTAAAAATACAAAAAATTAGCCGGGCGTGGTGGTGGGCGCCTGTAGTCCCAGCTACCCGGAGGCTGAGGCAGGAGAATGGCATGAACCCGGGAGGCAGAGCTTGCAGTGAGCCGAGATTGCGCCACTGCACTCCAGCCTGGGTGACAGAGCAAGACTTCGTCTCAAAAAAAAAAGAGATAGGGTCTTGCCATCTTGCCATGTAGCCCAGGCTGATCTCAAACTCCTGAGCTCAAGCAATCCTCCTGTCTCAGCCTCACAAAAAAATATTTGTTACATGTCTACATATACGATGGCTTTCATTAAATATTCTTTTATGTATGTGGCTTATTTTTGAACTTTGTGCTCTGTTCCCTCAATCTGTCTGGCTACTCAGGGACCAGCAATGTACTTTTTAAAAAATAGACTAGTTTGGCTGGGCGCAGTGGTGCACACCTGCAATCCCAGCACTTTGGGAGGCCAAGGCGGGCAGATCACGAGGTCAGGAGATCCAGACCATCCTGGTTAATACGGTGAAACCCCATCTCTACTAAAAACACAAAAAAATCAGCCAGGTGTGGTGGCAGGCACCTGTAGTTCCAGCTACTCAGGAGGCTGAGGCAGGAGAATGGCGTTAACCCAGGAGGCAGAGCTTGCAGTGAGCCAAGATCGCGCCACTGCACTCCAGCCTGGGCGACAGAGCGAGATGCCATCTCAAAAAAAAAAAAAAAAAAAAAAAGGCCTAGTTTTCAGAGCAGTTTTAGGTTCACAGCAAAACTGAGCCAAAAGGACAGGCAGTTCCCACGTGTACTTTGCCTTCCCCACCCCACCCAGACTCCCCCACTATCCACATTCCATACCAGTGTGGTCCATTTGTTACAAATGAAGAACCAACTTTGACACATTGTTATCACCAAAGTCTAGAGGTTAGGTATGCATGACTCATTCTATGTTATGCATTGTATGTACATATTATGTTATGTATATTTTGCCACACCAAAAAAAAAATGAGAGAAAGAACTAAGTTCAAGTTTTGATTCTTCCTTCTCTGAGCCTGTTTCATTATCTACAAAATAATTTATTAGTTGTAACCATCTATCTTCTGAGCTTAGTGCAGAATAAGCACTCAGTAAGAGATATTAGTACTACCGTTACTTCATCAGCATAGGATTGTGAAATACATTAATATATGTAAACCCCTTTTATGTATCCACTCTTACAGTATCACACAGAATAGTTTCACTTCCCTAAAAATTCCCTGTCTCCAACACCACCTTCTTTTTGGAGACAAGGTCTTGCTCTGTTGCCCAGGCTGGAGTACAGTGGCATGATGACGGCTCACTGCAGCCTTGACCTCCTGGGCTCAATTGATTCTCCCACCTCAGCCTCCTGAGCAGCTGAGACTACAAGCACACACTACCACACCTGGTTAATTTTTGTACTTTTTGTAGAGACAGGGTTTTGCAATGTTGCCCAGGATGGTCTAAAACTCCTGGCCTCAAGCGATACACCCACTTTGCCTCCCAAACTACTGGGATTACAAACATGATCCAACAGGCCTGGCCTGAAACGACTCATTTTTAAGCCCAGACAAGCAGAGAAGCTGACACAGCAGCTGAAAAAGGAAATCTGATCTATGAGTCACAAATTAAGTAAATTCCCAAAACGTTTCAAGTGGGCTTCTCCTAATACTAATCTGAGCTATGCTGGGGAAGTCTAATAAGACATGGAATCTAGAAAACAATTATTTGTCTTCACCTTCTCATCTTTTTTATGGCTGTCAAAAGCTTTCCCCTCCTATCCCTCCTATTCCTTTCCTAAACAAAAACACAATCTTCAGATTTTCCCCACTGAGATCCTGACCTTGATGATCTGGGGGATATTTCTGATTGTGACCATGGGAGGAAAGGAGTCCCAATGGCATTCAGTGGGTAAGGGTTACAAATTCTAAACAACTTGCCAAATTCAGGACAGTCCTACAAATGTGTCCCACATCCTGAATTGCTTTTGGATGTCCTATTCAACATTAATATAGATAAAAAGCTGTTCATATTTAGCGTGGCCTTAGAACCTAACTCCATTTCACAAATAAACACAAAGTATTTTTTGTAAAATATTAATATATATTGAATTTTCCAGGATAATAATCACCTTATTAACCAAATGAAGATTATACTTTGTTTTGTTTGGAAATCTATTACAGAAACTCCTACCACTAAAGCAATATAAGCCACCTAGATCAGTCTACATTTGTAGTTCTTGAATTCATTGCACAGGCAACTATGTCTTTTAATGCAGTCATGTCCAAACATTTATATATTGAAATAAATATTATTGTATTATAAATTACTTTTATTTTTTATATTATAGTTAGGGTGTTAATTGGTATTTTTGTTTAAAATATGAAGTAGATTGTATGTACCTATGAACTTCATTTCAGGATAGTAAAGGGGTCATTACAAAGTATTTGCTATAAAAAGAGAAAATGGAATGTGATAGAGCGGAGAACAGTGTTCTGCATGGTGAACTCAGATACCTGAAAGAATACTGAATTAACTTTTGCTTACCTTTTGCAAAGGAACTTTGAAAGCAATGAAACGAGTCCCAGGCATCCGCTGTCCAACTGGGAGATAGTCTTTCCACCTATTAGATACATTTTTTTGTTAGGCAAATTGTATGCCAGCCTTGTTTCCTTGCATAGATTAAGACTTCCTGAAAATGGGAATCACAGCCCACACAACATGTCCTCTCTTCTCTCCGCTTTGCATTTCGCCACTCCACTTATTAAACTCCACCAAGTAACAACCTATACTGCCCTCCTCTCCTGTTTCCCCATCATGAAAACGAACACAAGCCAACAAAACAGTACAACTCAAATAAGGCCTATATAAAACCAGAGATACCCAGAACTCCTGTATCTCTGTTAAACTTGGCCCAGTACCAGATACTAAAGTGCCATTAATACAAACATACTCACTGAAATAGTTCAAATTCAATTATTTCATTTCACGGTTTTAGTTTTCATACGACTGATGACATCAAGTTCAATTAGTAGGAAACTTCAAGTCCATATTTTAAGAGAAAACCTGCTAGAAGAGGGGCTGTGAACTTCACTTAATAATGCTTGGAACTGGCCAGGCGCGGTGGCTCAAGTCTGTAATCCCAGCACTTCGGGAGGCTGAGGCAGGTGGACCACCTGAGGTCAGGAGTTGAGACCAGCCTGACCCACATGGTGAAACTTCGTCTCTACTAAAAATACAAAAAAAATAGCCAGGTGTGGTAGCGGGCGCCTGTAATCCCAGCAACTTGGGAGGCTGAGGCAGGAGAATCGCTTGAAACCGGGAGGCGGAGGTTGCAGTGAGCCGAGATTGGACCACTGCACTCCAGCCTGGCAGACATCCTACTCAAAGAGCGAAAATCCCTCTCAAAAACAAAAACAAAACAAAACAAAACAAACAAAACAGATTGGAAGAAAACAAACAGAAGATTCACTGCAATTAGAACCCAACCGCAATAGATCAGGCAAGACCTGTATTAGGGTACTGACAGAAAGTGACAGTCAAAAGACAGGAGATAAAATGAAGAGAATTTATTGAGGTATGAGATGGTGGAGGATGGTCGCAAGGAGTAAAAACTGTTCACTGCACCTAACTGCAAAGTCTCAAAATTAATCATTTGTACGTATAAAGGAGTATATTTCAAACGAGGCCTGTTAGGAAGTAAAGTATGTTCGTTGTGATTTCTGGAAACAATACAAACCAACTTTCCATGTGAGATCTCAGGGCACTACTACTGCTGGGTTCCTAACTCAAACCATTACCCTTTCCGTGCCAACGTTAACAAGGAACTGAGGAGATTCCATCTTGGGAATTAAGGAGTGTCCCCAACACTAACAGTCCCACCTTAAAGCAATCCTTCCGTATTTTACCTAAGAACAATGGCCAGAACCTCCCTTTTACAAGAATATGGAGAAATCACAGGACCTTACAGACATCGCCCCTTTCAGCTACAGCGGGTGGCGCAGAGGGTCAAAGCCTCAAAGCAAGGGGCGGACAAGTCAAGCTTGCGACGGCAAGAGTGACAGGCAGAGACCACAAAAGATGAAGCCCAGACCCAGAAACCACGAGCTGGAAAGGCCACGCCAAGGGACCAAGACATATTTACCTTTCCGGGATGTGGTTTCCGCCCTTCTTCTTGGCGGAGGAGCGTCCTGAAAAGTCGCGTCCCCGACCCCAGCCACTGCGGGGATGATGCCACTGGCTCATGTGGGTCCCAAGAAGCCGCCCACCCAATGCCAAGCCGGCCAAAACCGCCAGTCCGGCGCCCTCAGTGCCAGGATAAGACCCTAGACCGGAAGAGACTCGGCAGCCACCCACGCAGCGCTCCAGCGTCTCGCTATTGCGCATGTGCCACCGCCGGTCGTTATGGCGTAACCACGCTGGCTTACTGAGACTCCTGATTTGTAAACAAGACTTTGGTGACTACAGCGCCCTCTTTAACCAGAGGCCGGTAGCACTGGTCAATAAGGGCGTGTTTGCACCCTTCAGAATTCAAACAGTGAGGCACGGGGAAGTGCCTCTGCCAGATCCGTCCCCCGCCCCGGTTCCTTGGGTGTTCTTCTAGATAGCTACCAGTGCTTACATTCACATTTTGCATATTGTGTGTAAATATTTACCTTCACATACATGTATATCCTCTATTTTTATACAAAAGAAGTAACTGTACATATTCTACAATCTATCTTGAACACTGATTTTCCCAGTCAATTTATGCATACATAGATTCTATTTTGTAATGGCTATAGGGAATTTCATTGCTTATGAGTAACATAATTAAAAATACCATAATGTAGTTAGCCAGTTCAGTATTAATGGACCTTCAATTGTTTTCAGGTTCCTTTCAAATCTTATTACATACAATGCTGCAATATGAATATCCTTATACATATATACAGCTATATCTAAATTCCTAGAAGTAGAATGAAAAAAAAAAAAGAAAAAAAAAAAAAAAAGAAATACGTTGAATTCTGCTAAAAGTGGAGCTACAAAGGACATCATACTCTATAGTAGCTCTGAAAATAGAATAGAGTACTAAATTCCAGATTAAACTGTAAGTAATTATGATTGCAGATTTTTTTTTTTTTCTTGAGACCCAGTCTCGTTCTGCCACCAGGCTGGTGTGCAGTGGCGCCATCTGGGCTCATTGCAACCTCCGCCTCCCGGGTTCAAGCAATTCTCCTGCCTCTCAGCCTCCTGAGTAGCTGGGACTACAGGTGCATGCCACCATGCCCAGCCAATTTTTTCTATTTTAGTAGAGACAGGGTTTCTCCATGTTGGCCAGGATGGTCTTGATCTCTTGACCTCATGATCCGCACTCCTCCGCCTCCAAAAGTGCTGGGATTACAGGCTTGAGCCACCACGCCCGGCTGATTGCAGATTTTTGAAAGCAATTTTTACTTTTTAGTTTCTAATTTATGAAAGTACCTTACATATATTTTTAGTAATCTTTGCAACCATTTTAAAGCTGGGTAAACCGAGGATGAAAAAGGTCAAATTGATTTTAATAAAGCTAGACTGTTAGCTTTATTAACATTTTTGAGACAGTGATTTTCCAACCAGTTTTAAATCCATAAACATTTACAATTCTGAAAATTTTCACATCATGAAAAATATATCAATATTCATAAATTGTTCATTGGAAAAAGAAAAAGGTTAACAGAACATAACAAACTTACAATTAGGAACATTTAATTATTTGTTGTTGTTGTTGTTGCTGTTGTTGTTGAGATGGAGTCTCTCTCTGTCACCCAGGCTTGAGTGCAGTGGTGCCATCTCGGCTCACTGAAACCTCCGCCTCTTGGATTCAAGGAATTCTGCCTCAGCCTCTTGAGTAGCTGGGACTACAGGCATATGCCACCACACCTGGCTAATTTTTGTATTTTTAGTAGAGACAGGGTTTCAACAAGTGGGCCAGCCGGTCTTGAACTCCTGACCTCAAGTCATCCGCCCACCTCGGCCTTCCAAAGAGCTGGGATTACAGGTGTGAGCCCCCGCACCCAGCCCACATTCAAATTTGACATTAAATTATAAAATATTGTGGCCGGGCACGGTGGCTCACGCCTGTAATTTCAGCACTTTGGGAGGCCGAGGCAGGCAGATCACTTGAGGTCAGGAGTTTGAGACCAACCTGGCCAACATGGTAAAACCCTGTCTCACCAAAAATACAAAAATTATCTGGGCATACTGGCTCATACCTGTAGTCCGGGGTACTTGGTAGGCTGAGGCAAGAGAATGGCTTGAACACAGGAGGCAGAGGTTGCAGTGAGCCAAGATTGTGCCATTGCACTCCAGCCTGGGCAACAGAGCAAGACTCCATATCAAAAAATAAATAAATAATACAACATTATTTTGGAAATTATTAAAAAATCCAATAGGTGTATAGTAGCCCAAAACTACAAATGATACAAATGTCTATGGACATGACAAGACAAAAAATGTAACATAAATCTTTCAGAAGCTAGAAAAGCTATATTGGGCTTACCTTTCAATTTGCTAAAAGACACAATATTGGGGTGAGAACAAACTCAGTTATAGTTGCCGCAAGAAAATCCAGACCAAAGGAGAATAGGATTTCTAGAAAGTAATGAGACATAATAATGAATAACATAAATGAAGTAATATGACATAAAACAAAATGGAAAAAATATATTATGATTATTTCCTTCAGTGTACAGAAGTCATGGAAGTTCCGGACTATCTAGCTACATAAAAAATATTAAATTGTCAGTTCTGTTAATACAAAATAGGTGTGTCGAATTGTCACAGAAACCAAAAAATTCACACAAATCTCTTTTTTCCTACACCCTCACTTTGCCTGTTTCCTATTCTCCACTAAATGCTTTAACTCTTCATTTGGCCTGGCCTTTGCACCCAAGCATGACTGACAGGAAATCCTAAAGGCCCGAGATTCTATAGTGGCTGTTTGCAAGGGAGAGGAGGCTATAAGTAACTGCCACACTGGATCCTCTTATGTGAGAAGAAAGAAAGTATCCTGAATGCTTCTTGCATATAAAACAGCGGGAAGGCAGGGCGTCTGTGTGGCCCAAGGAGCCAGAGGTAGCAAACTATGGGCAAAAGAATTGTGACCACAGGCTAGAAGAGGGAAGGTCTGCAGTCAGCCTTGTCTTCTACCTCTCTGGTGTTTGCTTCTAATGAGCAGAGTCTGTTTTCCAAACATCAGGACACTGAAAAGAAGACTCCTGCTCTGGAAGTTGACAAGAAGTAATATCCACGAATGTAAAAATGCAAGATCAAGACTTGGCCCAGAAACAATGCCTAAAATCAAGGGGTTAAAAAAGGAGAGCAGAGCAGAAGAGAGATCCTGGTTCAACCTGGCCCAGCCCAAAGAAGGTAGGATTCAAGGAGAAGAAACTAAAGGAGAAGAATCTTGGACCACATCATTTCCTACAACGAGTAGTCAATGAACTTTGCTCCTCAACCAAATTACAAAACAGGGTTCTTTAATCCCTTCCTTTGGCCCTTAAAAGTGTCAGTACGACTGGGCGCAGTGGCTCACGCCTGTAATCCCAGCACTTTGGGAGGCCAAGACGGGCGGATCACGAGGTCAGGAGATCGAGACCATCCCGGCTAACACGGTGAAACCCCGTCTCTACTAAAATTACAAAATTATAGCCGGGCGAAGTGGCGGGCGCCTGTACTCCCAGCTACTCAGGAGGCTGAGGCAGGAGAAGGGCGTAAAGCCAGGAGGTGGAGCTTGCAGTGAACTGAGATCATGCCACTGCACTCCAGCCTGGGCAACAGAGCGAGACTCCCTCACAAAAAACAAACAAACAAACAAAAAAAAGTGGCAGTAAATTCATTAATCAGATTCACTGAAATGGTTTTAGAACAACAGTAATTGCTCAACTTAGACGTCCCTTTCCTTTCTCCCCAAGGATATTGCGTGTGTACTACATAATTATAAATGCATAGCATTATATAATATGAAATATAACATATAAAACCTAAATGTTAATTATATGAGTGAACATTTATGAGAAACATTCAGATGATCTCCCTAACATGAGAGCCTGGAGGAAAGAGGGACTATCACGTCTGTCTTGCAGATTCCACCTCCCCAGAGCTCAGCCACTTAGTGCTGTTGCAGTTTTCCTACCATTTATGAGAAACATTCAGATGATCTCCCTAACATGAAAGCCTGGAGGAAAGTGGGACTATCACGTCTGTCTTGCAGGTTCCACCTCCCCAGAGCTCAGCCACTTAGTGCTGTTGCAGTTTTCCTACCACCTCTGCCAGCCAATCCTGTCTGGTTGGGAATCTGACCTCCCTATTGGCTATGGCAGACCTTTAAACTGCCTGCTTTGTGACATCATTCTGCCACCAAACCTACCACCACCTGGTAGAATCTTGGGGTTTGCTGGGAGTGGCCTGTACATTTGTATCATCGCAAGTGGCCAGTGACCAGTGACCGGTGACCAGTGGCCTTCATACTGGACACATGCACTCGTTGACTGGAGCCACCCAGACATCCGCTAGTATCGTCTCTTCATCCTTTGTATCTGCAGTTGATGTTTCTTCTTCTCTGACCATGTCAGGTAAAGAAAGAAACTTTTTAAAAAGGTTTTCATGAGATTTCTTTCCCCCTAAATTTAGATTCCTTTCCCCCTATAGTCCCAAACAGCTTGGAATAACCGGGAAACTCTTGAAGTAGAAATCTAGAGACTTCATTACAGTTTTGCCTTTGATATTTACTAGCTGTGTGACTTTAGATAACTTATTCTCATGGAGTCTGTTTCCTCATCTGTTACATTAGGATAATAAATTGGTTATTCCTTCTGGTCCTTTTCTTTTCTAATACTGAGTCTTAAAGGGTATACATATAGAAAATGAAATCAGAGACTTTCTGAGAGTGTTCATTTCAACAGAAACAGAGAAAAACCCAAAGTGGCATAGAAAAGTAGCAATATGTTCTGAGATGTTTCATTTGTAATAGTCTCCCTCCACTAATATTTCTACTTTCCTATTTTAAATTTAGTGACGTTTAGTGATGTTTTAAATAATATTCAGCCAGGCACGGTGGCTCACACCAGTAATCTCAGCACTTTGGGAGCCCATCTCCCTCACTAATATTTCAACTTTACTCTTTTAATTTTAGTGATGTTTACTGATGTGTAGTGATGCTTTTAATATTCAGTTGGGCGTGGTAGCTCATGCCTGCAATCTCAATGCTTTGGGAGGCTGAGGTGGGTGGATCGCTTGGGCCTGGAAGTTCACAACCAGTCTGAGCAACATGGCAACAACCCCATGTCTACAAAAACTTTTAAAAAATCAGCCAGCGTTGGGGGCATGCCAGCTACTCACGAGGCTGAGGTGGGAGGATCAGAGGACTGCTTGAGCCCAGGAGGTTGAGGCTGCAGTGAGCCA